AGGAGCTGGATCGAGCACGGGCTGAAAAGGAAAGCGGGATTCAGGCGGCAAAGGATGAGGCCGCCCGGGTTGAACAGCGGGCAAAGAAGGCTGAGGCCGACAGGGATCATGCTCAGCACGAGCTGAGCTCCCTTAGGCACCAGGTCGCCGAGGCCGACCGAAACCTTGCTGCTGTCGGGGAGGCTCTGAACGAGCTGAAGGCTTCCCATGGCCGTTCTGTCGCCATCGCCTGGGCTCAAGGGGCGGAATGGTTCGTCGGCTCGGCTGCGTTTCAGGACGCTGTGGTGGTGGCGTCGGCAAATGTAACCACGGAGATCTATAATGAGATCCGTGGGAAAGTACTGCAGCACCGCCCAGATTTTCCGATCCGCGAGCTGGTGTTTTTTGACGAGGAGGAGCTGGACGAACAGGGTAAGAGCCTGGCTCCCCTTACTGACACTACTGTGAAGCTAAGGTGGGACTTGAACGAGGAGGGTGTGCCCGTCTGGCCGCCGTCCGTGCTGGAGGACGGTGAGGATTCGGCAGGACTGCCCTCGTTTGATGCATGGGTGGAGGGTGCTCCTGTAGCTGAGCAGGAGCCTTCTAACACCCCGCCCAACTCTCAGCCCGCTGTGGTGCCAGCCAGCTCGCCCGTAAGCGTGCCAGCGTCCGAGCTCGCCACCCGATCTCCTCCTGCTCGTTCTCCTGCAGCTGCGGCGGACGCATCCATGCCCGTAGATCTGACGGATGACTAGGCCTAGGAATTTCTGTTTTATTTTTTGTATTTTTGTTTTGGCCTTTTTTGTATTTGATCGACAGATTCAGATCGCCTGTGCTTTTAATGTAATATCGTTGATGGAATACAAAAATGAATTTCGTTTTTAATCTTCCTTGCATTTTATGTATATCTCTATTTACAACTGTTAAATAACACCTCGAGCGAAGTAACATTACACACGTTAACTGTAAAACTTTCTAAGATTCTGTACATTCCAAAGGTAAGGTAACTGACGCCCGTGTATATCTGCTAACACGTAAGAGCCTGGTCGTTTAACTTGAACAACCATATAGGGGCCTTCCCAATTGGGGGCGAGCTTGCCCATGTGCGAATGAAGGTTAGTTAACCCAGCTTTACGTAGGACCAGGTCGCCAACTTGAAACTGGCGAGCTCGAACCCTTTTATTGTAAAATTTTGCAACGCGACTTTGATGTGCCATGTTTCTTATTCGTGACATCTCCCTGATTTCTTCCACAAAGTCCAGGTTCTCCCTTAAGAGTTGTTCATTACTCTGATCGTCATGGCGATCTGATCTATCGGATGGCAATCCCACTTCCACTGGGATGACGGCCTCAGCCCCATAGGCCAGGCTGAAAGGGGTTTCACCTGTGGCCGAGCTGGGTGTGGTACGACAAGACCAAAGCACTTTGTTGAGCTCGTCAACCCAATTAGAATGTGTAGCCAACACTCGTGCCTTGAGGCCTCGCAAGACGATTTTATTGGCGGACTCGGCTTGCCCATTGGACTGTGGAGTGTACACAGATGTCAAGGCGAGCTCAATGCCGTAATTGTTACAAAACGATCTCAGTGCTGCGGCTCGGAACTGTGGCCCATTATCGGCGATAATCCGCTTAGGTATGCCGAACCTGCACACAGACGGACGAGCTAAACCACAAACTGTGTTTGCATATATTTTACTTGTGATCTAAGTCACTAAAGAATACCTGCACAATATGGAATTGAACAAGAATTCTTCGATCTTCCTTTCTGTTGTCGTGGATAATGGTTTAGCTTCTATCCACTTGGTGAAGTAATCCACCGCAACGACTAGGAAAGTGCAGCCTCCTTTGCCTTTGACGAAGGGGCCGAGCAGGTCGACGCCCCATTGAGCAAAAGGCCAGGGAGACGTCAGAGATGATAGCATTTCCCCTGTTTCAAGGAAGGTACTTATGCTCAGTTCATAGGCAGTCATTAGGTTAGAATAAACTGTAGAACGAGCTCGGATACCTGGCATGTGGATATCATCAGCATTGAACTGGCAGGTCGGGCACTTTTTGACATAGTCCTGTGCGTCTTCGACCATAGTGGGCCAGTAATAACCATGCCTCAGTAGTTTCCGAGCCAAAGTTCTGCCACCGATGTGCATGCCACATACTCCCTCGTGAACTTCTCTCACGGCGTATTCAGCCTCGTAAGGAGTAAGGCAGCGTAATAGGGGCATTGAGGCTGCTCGCTTGTAGAGTTGGTTATCTAACACAGTGAAATGGGCCGCCCTGCGTTTAATCACCTTTGCAGCGGACTGGTCTTCAGGTAGCTCGCCACTTTGAAGATAATTCATAAGCGGGGTGGTCCAGCTCGGTGTGGAGGGGTCTGTACTCAACAATTGGCACTCGACTGTGAAATCAGTGTAGCTCGGTGCGTCAAGCACCTCGACGATTGTTGATCTTTGAGGATTAATGTCCTGCGACGAAGCCAACTTTGAGAGCTCGTCAGCTCGCTGGTTATTTGCTCGCAGTATTTTGTCGATCTGAAATGAGGCGAACTTGGACTTCAACCTGTTGACCACAGAGGCATAACGACCGAGCTGGGGATCCCTGATGTCGCAACTACCGTTCACCTGGCGGACAACGAGCTGAGAGTCGCTGAAGACCTGAATGCTTTGTACCTTCAGCTCAGCCGCCAGTTTCAATCCATATATGAGGGCTTCATATTCTGCAGCATTATTGGTCGTCTGAAACTTAAACCTTAAGGCGTGCTCAGACTTGAAGCCTTCAGGGCCTAGTAACACAGCTCCAGCACTTGATCCTTCGACATTAGCAGCTCCATCTACATACAAAACCCAGAATGGGTGTTCAGGTGCCTTTTCTTTCACAGCCGCTGGGGCACATTCAACTAGGAAGTCTGCCACAGCTTGGCCTTTTATAGTTGTGCGCGGCTGAAATTTAAGGTCATACTCACTCAGTTCTACACTCCATCCGATAAGCCGACCAGAGAGTTCCGGTTTCTGCAATATCCTCCTCAACGGCAAATCGGTATAGACAATAATCTGGTGTGATTGGAAGTAGGCTCTCAACTTACGAGCTGTGTAGACCAGGGCAAAAGCAGCCTTTTCCGCTAGTGGGTAGTTCTGCTCGGCGCCCTGTAAGACTTTGCTTACATAACAGATAGGCTTCTGGTTCTTATTCTTTTCCCTGAGTAGGACCGAGCTAATTGCCCCTGCTGTAACCCCTAAATACAGATACAAGCTTTCCCCTTCCACAGGCTTGGATAGCAGGGGCGCTGACGCCAAGTATCGTTTAAGCTCGTCAAAGGCCTGCTGACACGTGTCGGTCCATTGAAAATTCTTGGGCTCTCGCAGGGCCTTGAAGAACGGGAGGCATCTTTCTGCCGACCTGGCTATAAACCTGTGCAGCGCAGCAACACGGCCTGTCAAACGCTGCACGTCTTTGACAGTCCTTAGCGGTTCCATCTGTTGAACGGCCTCAACCTTCTCTGGGTTTACTTCAATTCCTTTCTTGGATACCACGTACCCTAGGAATTTCCCTGATTCCACAGCAAACGTGCATTTCAAGGGATTCAATTTCATTTGAGCTCGACGCAAGTTTTGAAATGTTTCGTCCAGGTCATCAATGTGATCCTCAGCTCGCACGCTAGTGACTATCATGTCATCCACATATACTTCTATGTTTCTGCCGATCTGGAGCTTAAAGATGATTTGCACCAGCTTCTGGTATGTTGCTCCAGCATTTTTGAGGCCAAACGGCATCATGACATAGCAGTAGATTGCATCGCCAGCGTAAAAAGCTGTTTTCTCCTGGTCGTCCAACAGCAACTGAACCTGGTGATAGCCCGAGCT